TTTTAGAAAAAAGTATTGTCTTATAGTCGGAAAAATACGGTAATTATATACTTGTTTTTAAAATCTTACAACAAAAATAACCAATATTCCAAATCTCTCTGGTCTCCAAATCCGTTTAAAACTTTCTTAAATCAAAATCCCCCTTTTTTTGCTTTTTTGCCAATTGTATATTATTTTAAATTCTTGAGACTCTATTTAAAATTTCTTAAATCTGAAGAAGGTAAAACTCACCAGGTATCAAATTGAGCTTATCATTTTGAAGGTCTCTAATATCCATAAAGTGGTTAAATTGAACATTTCCAAAAGTGATTAGAAAGTGAGTTTGGCTGGCTTTGAGAGGCTCCGCTGCTGCTGGGAGCAAAGATGTCTCCCTCAGTCCTGGCACTCAAACCCATGGGAGACCGCTCACGAGGAGCTGTCATTCAAAGTACTTGTGGGTGATCTCCTGATCTCTCCTTTGGAGAGATCTGAAATTCGAAGGATCAGTCTACTCGCCAGTCTTTTGTTCTGCACAACAGCTGTTGTCTCCATTCGCGGAGAGTCTTCAGTCAGCCATGACTCACACCGGAAGACATAATTTAAATTATTTTTCATAATGAATAACCAAGGCAATAATCAGAAAGACCCTGGATATGCTTTCCAACGATCACTGCAGGTCACCAGCAGGAAAGCCTGCAAAAGAAGCTGGGTTTCGTGTTGCAGCAAACCCTGTATATATAACTGGATGCACAACCTGATCTTTAGGCAATCGAGATTGCACAAAGGGGAGGGTCAAGAGCCTTGAGAGAATCCTAAAGCATGGAGAAAAGAGGAATAACCTTCCAATGATGGGAAAAACAAATGCTGACACATGCCTGGACACACATACACATGCACACACATGCACACAAACACAGAAAATGGAATGGGTAGCCTGAAAAAGTGTCTGCTTGCACTGTTTATGTATAGTCTGTATTGCCTGTTTTGCCAATCCCGTCACTTTGCTGAAGAGCCATTTTACCTACAGACTGATTCTGAATTTGTACTATAATTTCAGTTTTTGCAAGCTTGTTTGCTACTGCAATTACTTTTTCTAACAAGCTAGATCAGAGCTTAAAGAAAATACGTCTGATTATAATTACTTGTTTATTATTTAAGTTGCGTGCCATGGGAATTTTTGACAGATTTCAAAGGGACTTTTTTTTAAAATCCAGTTCTCTTCCTCCGAGCATATTCTGTCACGAAAGAATGTCACAATTTTCTTCAAAAGCAGGTAGGAAGAGTTTTCTTTAGGGAGTTGCATATTGAGAGGGTTGATTTCTTCCCATATTAAGAGTGGGGTATAGAGGAGAATGAGAATATTGTTAGACTCTTCTCCCACCATTGCTAAACACTAGCCATGCAGTTTGGGGCTGGTGGGACTTTGTAATGTCTCTGTTGAGTGTGATTCTTGGTGATGTACATGGATATAGCCAGGGTATGGTCAAAAAAGTCAGGAGGATGGCCCCAGTGGTGCAATCTAAGCTCTGTTCATTTTTTTATATGCATTGCACTGTAATTTGTTTTTAATGTATTGTTGTGAGCTACATTGTGGAAATATTGCATTACAAGGTAACTTATAAATTTTGCAAGTAAATCAATTAATCCAGTAGATGCTCTGGCTGTTAGTGTCTGGGACAGGTTTGAGTAGAGAGGGTATAAATACCAGTCTTAAAATACATTAGGGAGTTCTAGGGCGCCATCTTGTGGTTTAGGAATTGGTTTTGAACAGAAAAAAAATACTCTGACAAAAGTTTTTATACCGACAAGCCCAGTCATTTATTCATTTATTATTTAACTTTTTAAAATATGGACCTTTCTCTGCCACCTCGTGTTATATATTAAGACTATTTTAGCTTATAAAATCATCTCCTGCATAACTAGAATTAGAAAATATATTTTCTATATGAATTTGCTTTAACAGCCCTCTCATTCTACAGGCTTTATTGAAAAGGAAGATTCAGTGCTTAATTGCAACTGGAGAGTTGCATCAGCTGTGTAAAGGGGGCTCTGCTGAGTGCATGCCATTTATATTGGGATCCTGTAAGAATGGTTATATGAGATCTTTCTTCTGCGCAGCTCTAAACAGTGATGGACAAATGACTGTATCATAATTTGTAATATTGTGGGTTGTTGTCCCAGTCTGGCCACGGGGACCTTCTCAGACCATGCAGGTTGAAAATGAAAATCACTCTGAGGCTCCAAAAAAATCCAGCATTCCCACATACACACACAGTGGGGAATCTATTATGGGGAGGAGCCTAAACTCACAAAAACCAGAGTTAGTTCTCCATCTTTATCATCCTTTCCCATAGTAAAATAACTCTGTATTTACCACTTGCACTCAGAAACTAGCTTTCATTTACAAGACCCTAAATATACCACTTTAAATATATATATATTTCAGCTCATTAATTGCAGAAAAAGTGCCCTTAAAAGCACTATTCATTCTCTGTATGCTTAGACTGCTTAAATCTCATTTGACTTCAGTGTGAATTAAAACTATCTGAATGAAGATTTAAAATCAGAGTCCTTGCTTTGGTTCTACCAAGCTTGATTTTAGAGTATATCAGCTGTTGCATAGTGCACCTTAAGGCTAAGAGAAACTCTTGTTATTGGCAGTGGTTGAAATCAGCAATAACATTCTATTTTATCTAAAGAGACTATTATATTCATTTATTTAAAAAAAACACTTTTTTAATTTCCCTTTTAGGCCAACAAGAACCATCTTACTCAACAAACTCTTTGGAGAAATCATTTCTCCCCCTTCCAATATACATACAAAAGCTATTCTTTTATAGCTGATTTGTAATGCTTCAACGTGCGAGCAGATGGATCAGTGGCCTTGATCCATCTTGGCATCCAATAGTGGGGGAGCCAACTGGAATGTCCCAGGTAATGCTTCTCAAAGATCTGGCGGTAAAAATAACCTTCTTTTGTTTTAGGAGGATTGAATGGAAATTTCTCTGGAGCTTTCGCCAACAAAAGATCATCAACCTAGGAGCAGATATAAAAGAGTAACATATGAGGATTTCATCATAAATTATTCCTTATTTTAGAAGTTACAAACAAAAACATATGTTTCTCTATTCTGTTTTTTTGTTTTTGTTTTAAATCACGGTGCAGAATGTTTGGGGCTAAACAGTTCAGAAGCAATGTATATAACTCCTAAGGACAAAGGTGTTCAGAGTGTGTGGGTGTGTGTGTCATGAATGCCATCTTGCAGTTTTTGATTCCCCTTGCAGATACCTCTGCCTAAGGAACTTTGAAGAACTCATTTGATTCTTCTTAGAATAATGTTCAGTTCATTTCTGCAACCATCAGTGGACCAATTTTTTCCTCAGTTATTATTACCAGTTTCGACCAGTGGGGTCTAGGAAGAGGGTCTTTTCTGCCGTGGCCCCTGCTCTGTGGAACTTATCTCCCAAGGTGCGGTGTGCCCCCACTCTCATGGCCTTCAGGAAGAGTGTGAAATCTTGGCTATGCCAGATGGCCTGGGGGCCAGATGGGGGCTCGCACCATTGGAATTGGCTCATGGGGTAATTGATTCTACACCTCCCCGGTCATCTTGAATGTTTTTAGTGTTTTTTATCTATATGGTCTTTTTATATAGTTTGACTTCTTAACTAAATTAATGGGGATATTTATATTTTTAACTGTTTTTGGGTTTTACTTTAATTGTGAGCAACCCAGAGTCATCCTCTTGGGGAGATGGGCAGCATATAAATTTAATTAATTAATTAATTAATTAATTCACTATCAACATTATTATTATATTAGTCCATCTATATTACACATTCTCTATGCATTGTAGAATTATTTTAAAATAAATACACCAAAATACACATACCTAAAAACACAATATTACATACAGCACAGTAAAAATAGAAAGAGAAATGAAAATGTTTAGAAAAATGTAGATCTGGCCTTAGGAATGGGGAAGAAATGATTTAACTGTTAAAGGAGGACTTTCAGAAAAGATTACTCAGTCCTGGGAAAGAGGAAAGTATGAAAAAGAAATAACCCTGCCTTGATTTTGTTTGGCGTAACATAGAGTAGAGAACTATTTTGACAGGTTTTCAAGATTCTG